ATCTGTCCCGAGCATGTGAAGACTTCTCCCGTGGGACGGGCAGATGCTGAAGCAGGGGCACTGTGGAGCTCTTAGAGCTTGGTCAGACATTGCATATGGCAAGGTCATCCACTGCATTAGGCCATTGTCAGTCATCTTGACTTTTGTCATGCTACTGGTCTTGGATGACTCTGGAGGAGAGAGGTGAGGCTGATGACTTTGTGCAACCCTGCCTCGCTTAAATCCAATTCATCTCATGATGCCATTGGTCCTCTTCAAAAAGAAAGACAAATAACAAACCTCCTGTTACATTAAGCCCTTGGGGATGTGGCCAGTCCAGGGATGGGGAACCTGTGGCCTCGAGGCCACGTGTGGCCCTCTAGGTCCTGAAGTGAGGCCCTTTGACTGAATCCAAACTTCACAGAACAAATTTCCTTAATAAAAGGATTTGTTCTGCAAAACTTGGACTCAATCAGAAGGTGGCACTTCCCTACCCCCTGGTCCAGTCTATTATTTCACCTAACCAGCTATTTCTTTCTTGACCTAATCAAAGAAGTTTATGTCTTTTAAAGAGATCACTGGGGTTAGCCCATCTAGTTTACACATTTAAAATTTTATCATGCCCTCAGATTGATTAATTAAGGTTAGGGTATGGAAACTTCTCCTTAAGTAAGGACCAACATTTGAGTCTTTATTAAATTATCTCTAGATTGAAAGGAGGGGAGTGTGTCTGATTTGTATCTGATTCACAGTTTTTCAGTGCTATCACATACTGCACAGCAGATGGACTTTTCATGCTTGGTCTACAAAGCTGATTAATGATAAAACAGTTGTTCTTGTTTCTTATAACTGCGAAACCTAACAGTGTGGTAATGTTATTTTTAGGAAAATAGGTTCATTTATGATACCTTTATGATATGATATGCCTTATGAATAAATGTACCCATGTGTCTGGAATTGACTGCTGGAGATATCTTATCTCAGACCTGTCCATAGTCACAGTAGGCAGCAGAAAGACAAATTTTTGTCTTACGGTAAATGGAATGAATTCTTGTGAATAAATCTAATTAATGGTAAATAGGTGATCCTGGGTTAGTCTTAGCAATTTCCTTAGTTATAAAAGCAGTATATAGACTAGTCTGATCTTTTGATTAAAGTGGTTCTCTTGATAACTTAAGATAATACTGTCTAACATAATAGAATCTCTCTCTCTCTCACAGCAAATTAGAGGATTTAGGGTCCTTAGGATATAGATGTAAGAACTTTTTCAACACTAATAATTTCAGTGTTATTAAATGGAAATTTTAAACCAACTAGCATGTCCACGTGCCAGTATAAACACCCAGCTTCTCCTCTGCCCTCTGTCCCTGATAAACTTCTTCCCCCCTCCCCCGGGTTGTTTGGCTCCAGCACTGCCCAAGAATTAAGCAATTGCCGCATTACTCTTTAACCTTTTCTTCCTCCTGATTAGGCATTCTCCGTATTGCGTTCCTCAAAACAAAATGCTTTATTATTGAATATAAAAATTTTTGCTACATCTGAGGAATAATCTTGACCAATTTTGATAGTACTTTTTCTTGAAACATTAGTTTTCCTTTTGAAATTTTTCTCACCTTTCTTCCTCCTCGTCATCCTCTTCTACTTTCTTCAAATGATCTCTCATTTTATTGAGCACTCCAGAGGCAAAGCACTGTGCTAGGCTCTTGGGGGATACACAGATGAATAAGGATGTGTCCATCCCTTAGATAATTTGTAATCTAGCAATTTAACATTTTTGTATCATCTTTGTTTTCAAGGAGGAAACTAAAAAAAACCTCACTTACCTAGAATGAAAAACCAGCTTGCCTGGTTTTGACCTGTTTATACTTTGGTCTGTAATGCTTTGGAGCATCGTATTACATTGTAGGCCAAAGTCTACCACAGCACTAAGCCTCATGTACACCATGCCTTATTAGTCACAGGTCTGTGTTATAGAAAAAAATATATATCCAGTACTCTATTCGGCTTTGGTCTCCTCTTATAAAACAGACAGAAGTCTATACTTAGCAAACCACTTATTTTTTTCCAAACAAGTTATAATAATAATATTCTCACTGAGTAAAGCTTTTGTGCATTTCAAGAATCTGGTGGCATCAAAGTAGCCCGAACTTCAAGTGTTTCTATGATTAGAAAAACAATTTGAAATTTAAGGTCAGAGAATTATAGTCCTATGGTCATGTTCACAAATGCACGTAGAACATTACAAATTTGTGAAGTAATCATTGTAAAACCTAGTCTCTGATATTTCATAGGTTATCAGTCATTAAAAACTAGCACACCATATGGTTTTTTTGAAAAGAGGGTTATTGATGATCACTTTTATAGTATATCGATATGTACATATGAAATAAAAAATACAGGTCAAAGAAGGGTCACTAAGAATTTAAAGGATTTGCCCAGGGTTACAGAGTTAGTATATATCAGAGATGGGACCTGAACGAAGTCTTCTATACTTTGAGGTCAATTTTCTATCCTACATACCATGCTATCGTTTATTATTATTGTTTGTTTATTTTTATAATATTTTATTAATCTCTTTTGTTTTGACATTACTCTAATTTCAAAACATTTCCATTCCTCCTTGAACTATCTCTTGTAATAAGAACCATCCCTTGGAAGAAACCAAGGGAAACATTTAAATATGAAAAATAAGCAAATATAGGAGGGAATCGTGGGGTCCAGGAAGAAAAAGGAATAGGTTTTTGCAAATCGGAGAGGGGAAAGATGTTCTCCAGTCTTCACATAGGGTTGGGGATCAGGGTTCAAGGCTCACACAGTGAATTTGCAGAGACGCTGCTCCTTGTACATCTGCTGACCAAGTTTGGGCATGTCCTGTTGTGTGAAGCCAAACGGCTATGACAGGGCCAGCTACCTGCAGTATAGCAATACAAAGACATCACAGTCACTGCCATTTTCTCTGGCCACATCATCTTGAAGTAACCCTCTCATCCCTGATGGAACTCTAGCTGATTCTTTTTCACTTCCTCATCCTGTAGACACGTAACAAAATGCTTGGGACATTAGCGGTTTAGGGTACTCTGTGAGACAAAATAGGTAGCGATCCCCTGCCTCACAACACAGAGATGAGTAACCAGTATAATTCCTGGTACATAGGGATGAGTAGCTCTTCCTTACCGAAGATATACACATTTTTGGTCTACGTTTCACTCTTGGTACAGAGTTTGTCATAGAAGAAACTGTTGAAAAAAAAGAACCTTCTCTGGAACAGTGTTCATTACCAGGCCTCCATACATATTCAGCACTGGGTCGTTAAGCCAGTTCTGTGAATAAAAGGTCCGCAGGTCATCCATAGTCAGCACGTGCTGATAGGCTTATAAGCCACATGAAAGCCTCTCACCAATGTATTGCCTGGCATACATTGGCATGACTGGATCAACTGCTAATCTAACTCTTTTCTAGAAGGTGCAGAAAACTCTTGCTGGAAAATGCCCTCCAGTTTCTTTACCATTTTGTCTGTGCTAAGAGAAATGAGGCTGCCACAGGTCTCAAAGAATTCATCCAGGATGGTCTACACAGGCCATATGCTTCTCTCAGAGGAGAGAGAGAGAGAGAGAGAGAGAGAGAGAGAGAGAGAGAGAGAGAG